ATTTTTTAGAGATTATATAGAATTATATTTTTTAGAGAGAATGATATATAATAGTACCTATTATATAGGATTATATAGGGTTTATGTAGGATTATAGAGAATGGTATTATTATAAAGAATTATATGGATTTTTTATGTAGAACTATATAGAATAATATCTATTATATAGAATGATACAGGGGGTTTTATGTAGGATTATATAGAATAATATCTACTACATAGAATTACATAAATTTCTTAAAAGATTATATAGAATAATACCTATTATATAGAATTACATAGATGTATTATAGGGAACTATATAGATTATTTAATAGAGATTATATAGAATACCTAATATATACAATTACATAGGTTTCTCGTAGAGAATTATATAGAATAATATATAGAATGATATAGAATTTTTTATAGAGAGGTATACAGGTTTTAATGTAGGATTATATAGAATAATATCTATCACATAGAATTATATGGCATATAGAATTATAGCAGGGACTGTATTTAAATGACATGAAAGGTGTAATGGCAGCCTTATCTTTAATTTATAGGTTCTATTTTTATATATAATCACAGTAGAAATTATATTGACAGGTTATTATGTCGATAAATAACATAAGTGCAAGCTCTAAAATAATTTTAATAACTATTATTACTCTCATTGTTATGTATAAATAAATTGTAAATTCATAATAAGTATTCTCTACTACTAATTAATTATATAAAATTATAAGTAAAATGTTATATTATAATCCAATACAATTCTGTCAAATTTCATTGTATAACAATATAAAATTGTCCACATTTAATTTATATTTATATATTATTCCATTTTATAATTATCTCTCAATATCTAGATGTAATTACAGATATAATTTGCTGCATTAATATACTAATATATTACATAAACATATATTTGATATTTTTTGATATTACTGCCATATTAAGAATAACTTAATTTTATATATCATATTTTTAGATAATACAAGAGAGATTATATTTATTTCCTATTACTATATTCATACATAGAGATTATATTTATTTATTATTTTGTTTATCTATTTATTGTGATATTTATATAGACATTACATTTACTTTCTATTCTTATAGTCATACATAACTGTAGTGGTGTATATTTAAAATTAATTTAGTGTAAACTTTAAATTGATATACCCACATCATCTAACAATATAAGTATTAATAAGTAATAATGTTATTCAATTACACTGTTTAACATTATTAGCCAATTAACACTTTAAATCTTTTGTATAAGTTAATATTTATCCATATAAATCTACAGAAATATATGAAATTAAACTACACAAAGAATAGAGATTTTTAAAAGGACCAAAAAGGGATTTTAGAGATTCTTGGCAGAAAACCCCCCAAAAGATGATTATTGATCACCTTTTAATCAATTAATCAATTGATTAAAATTTGATTAAAATTAGTTTTTAAAAAACCCTAAATATATTTATATATAAAAATGGGTGATAAGGATTTTTTTTTAATTTAAAAAATAGGGACTTAGGGGGTGTTGAGAGAAAAAAGCTGATTTTTTCTGAAAAAACCCCAAACAACTGGGAATTTGGGTGTTTGGGGTGACAAATTGGAAATAAAAAACAGGAATAAGGGTTTTTTCTCAGAAATAAATTATAAATAAGGGGTTTTTTTCCTAAAAAGGGGGATTTGGAAGAAAAATCAACAGCAAAATAAGGCATCATGATTTTTTAAACTGAAATACAGTGAGTAAAAGGGTTTTTTTCCTAAAACAGAGTTCAAAAGAGTTTTTTTGTTTCCCTAATAAATTCAATTGAAAGAAAAAAGGACTCAACTAAAAAAATTAAGGAAATAAAAGGGATTTTCCTTTAAAAATAATTTAAAGAAAGGGTTGAATAGGATTTTTTTCATGAAAATTAGAAAAAAAACCCGGGAAAATAGAGAATAAAAGGGATTTTTTTTCCTTAAAAAATATTGATCTTTCAGTAAAATAGAGTAAATAAAAGGACTTTTTTCATTAAAACCCCCTCTAAAAATGGATTTCAAAGGTTTTTTTTTTTTAATAGATGGTTTTGTTTGTTTGTTTTTTCCTGGGGAAAAACCCAAATACTTTTTTTATCTCGAAAAACCCCACCCAAACCTCAAAATATTCAGGACAAAGTGCACTTTTTTCTGTAAATAGTGAGAAAAAAGGGCATTTTTTCCTGAAAATAAAGGGAGTTTTCATGAAAAAAGAAAATTCTAAAGGCTCTTGGATGTAAAGAATTACTAAAAAATGTGGGGGTTTGGTTAAAAATAATAATTTTCTGCCCTAAAAAGCTCCAAAATATACCCAAAATGCAGGAAATTTGGGAAGTTTTTGAGGGAAAAGGGAGGTTTTCTCACCACAGAAGGAAAGGAGGAGCCACCAGGTCCCACGCAAAGCCATCGCTGCAAAAAACACCCAAAATCACCAAAAATTACCCGAAATCCCTGTTTTGGGGGGAAAATCCATGTGAGCCCAGAGGGGTCACCAGAATCCCCAAACAACCCCCAATTTACCCTAAAATGGTTTTTTTTTACCCATGGAAACCTGTTGGGGCTTATTTTGGCCCCTGTTGCCACCAAATCCACGCCGAAAGCTCCAAAACCCATGAATTTTGTTCAAAAAAATTGGGTCAAAATGGGGGTTTTAACCAAAATCCCCCACATTTGGGGTAAAATGGTTGGGTTTTTTCCCCCAAATCCCTCAAAATTGGGTCAAAATGGAGCTGGGAAAACCATCCACACCCACCACCACCAATTTTACCCCTTGAGGCCACCTCAGAGTCCCAATTTCCACAAAATCCACCCCAAAACCTCCCAAAAATGATTAATTTTGCCCCCACAATCCTCCAAAATTGTGGCAAAATGGGGTTAAAAAGCCAGGACAACCCTCCCACCACTCAACCTCCCCTCTTGATGCCACTTCAGAGTCCCTATTTCCACCAAATTTACCCCAAAACCTCCCCAAAATTATGAATTTTGTTCAAAATCCCAAAAGTTCAGGTCAAAATGGTGGGGTTTTTTGCCACAAATCTCCCAAATTTGGGGCAAAATGGGGTTCAACAGCCAGGACAACCCTCTGCCCACCTTGTCCCACCCAACCTTAATTTGGGCTCTAAAAGTTCAAAGAATCCCAATTTTGGGCATTAAGAGGGCAAAAAATCTGAACTTCAGGAAAAAGTAGACAAAAAAATCCTGATTTGGGGCACAAAAAGGGTGAAAAATGCCCAATTTGAACACAAAAATGGTAAAAATATAAAACTGGGGGTGAAGAATGTGAAAATCTGAATTTTGGACACAAAATGGGGGTAAAATTAGATTTGGGGAGGAAAAATGGGCAAAAACCCCCAAAATTTGGGCAAAAGTGTTAAAAAATTCAAAATTTGGGATTAAAAAGGGGTTAAAAATATGAAACTTGTGGGGTGGAAAGGGGCAAAAGTCACTAAACTGAGGGGAAAAAAAGGAAAAACTCTGAAATATGGGCAGAAATTTCTGCACATCCCCAAAAATGAGGAAAAAGAGGGAAAAGCAGAGAATGAAGGCACTCACCAGCCCCTGAGCTCCTGAATTCCCGGGATCCTATGGACACGGCGTTTGGCCCCAAATCCATCTTTTATACCCAAACGGGTCTCGACTGGAGCCGCTTCCAGGGGCGGATTTGGGCCAAAACCTGGGGATTTGGGCCAAAAACCTGCAGATTTGGGCTGATTCGACAGAATTTTGGGAATGGGGGGAGCCAAGGGGGAGTGACCCCGGAGTTTCAGAGAATTTGGGAAGTGGCAGCTGGATCCTGTCACTGAGGAGACATCGGAAGGGGGGGGTAGGACTCCCAGGGATGTCACGACACGTGTGGGACCCTCAGGGATGTTGGAACAGGTGTGGGACCCCCAGGGATGTTGGAACAGGTGTGGGACCCCCAGGGATGTCTTGGGACCTCCAGGGATCCTCCCAGACCCCCCGAATTCCCAGAATCGCTGCCCCCCTGGAGCCCTCTGCCCCCGTGACCGCGGGGGGAGGGATGGACCCAAATACGGTTGTTTTTTACCAAAAATGAATGACCCGAGTCCCAGCGGGGATTTCCAGGGAATGGGGAATTCTGGCCCAAACCCCGGGCAGGACTGAGAAAAACCATCTGGAGCCGGGAGGGAAATCAGGCAATGTTTCTCCTTAAAATGGAGATGGAAAACCCCGAACCCCACTGGGACCCCAAAAACCACTGGGGGACCCCCCAAATACCCCCCGGAAGCCCTCACCCTCTGGACCCCCCAAACCCCTCCAGAAACCCCAAAGCCACGCAGAGACCCCCAAAACCAGTCAGGGAAACCCAAACCACCCAGAGACCCTCAAAACCACCCGGAGACCCCCCAGAGACCCCGAGGAACCCCTCGTCCCCCTGGACCCCCCAAATCTTCTCCGGGAACCCCAAACAAACAAGGTCCCTGGAGGTCCCTGGGAGAGTTTTGTGGTTCCCCTGGAGGGGTCTGGAGGTCCAAGGGGGATGGGGCACGGAGGTTTTGGGGGCCCTTGGGAGGGTTTGGAGTTTCTAGAGGAGATTTGGGGGGTCCCTGTTGGGGACTGGGGGGGCTGAGTGGCACAAATCCTCATTGGGAGCCCCAAAGCCGCTCAGGGACCCTCAAATCCTCTGTGGGAGCCCCAAAGCCGCTTAGGGACCCCCCCAAATCCTCTCTGGGAGCCCCAAACGCCCTCAGGAGCCCCACAAATCCTCTCTGGGAGCCTCAAAGCCCCTCGGGAGCCCCTTAAATCATCTCTGGGAGCCCCAAACGCCCTCGGGGACCCCCCAAATCCTCTCTGAGAACCCCAAACCCTCTCAGGGACCCCCCAAACCTCTCCCGCCCTCCCTCCTTTCCCTTCTCCGGCCTCCCATTGCCCGCGGCGCCCGCCCGTCATCTCCTGCGGCCAATCAGCGCCCGAGAAGGGGCCGTTGGGGCGGGGCCTGGTGGAGCGCGGGCCATGGAGCGGGTGAGGGCTGAGGGGACCCCGGGGGATTTTGGGGGGTGCAGGGGGGGATTTTGGGGGTTCCCGCGTCACCCTCCACGGCTTCCCCCCAGGGACTCGGCCTAGAGCAGCGAGCGGAGCGACTGGTGCGAAAGAGGTGGGGGAGCGGCGCGGCCGCCAAGCGACTCCCGGACCTCCCAGAATCCCCCTCAGTTCCCTGCTCTGCCCTCCCAAGAGCCCCTTGGGGACGCCCAACTGCCTTGGGGACGCCCCCCCGGCCCCAAGTACTTCCCCCCCGACCTCACAACCCCTCAAATGCCCCTGGGGTCCCCAAACCCCTCGCGGGGAGGGCGATGGGGGGGGTCGGTATTTGAAGGGTCCCAACCTGCCCTTCCTCCCCCCAGCCAGGTCCTGCTCAGGCACCGCCCCCGTGGGCCAGAGGGGGCGGAACCTCGGCTTAGCTCCGCCCCCACAGGCCCCGCCCCCGTAGACCCCGTCCCCGACGACCCCCTCATCCAGTGGCGTCTGAGGCGGCGCCGTGGGGAGGAGCTTGCGCTGGACACTTGCCCAGTGGGCGGGGCGACGCACTGGGAGTCACGTGAGCCCTGCAAGACACCAATCAGGGGCCGCTTCTGCACCTCCCACCGCCAGGGGGCGACCTCGTCCCGGCCCGACTCCCAGGAGTCCTTGCAATGGGAACCATGCCTGCGGTCATGTGATGCCACTGGGGCCCTGTGGGGGGCACCATGTTGGGTGTCACGTGATCCTCAGGATCTGCGGCCAATCAGGAGTGGCGTCCAGGATGCCCAGCAGGGGGCACCCTCACGGCAGGCACTGGGTGAGGGGAACTGGGGGACTGAGGATGAATTGGGGGATCTGGGGGAGCACTTGGGGGACCAGAGGGGTAATTGTGGGGCTGAGGGTTCACTTCTAGGGCTGGGGAGGGAATTGTGGGGCTGGGGTGTCACTTGTGGGGCTGGGGGGCAATTGTGGGGCTCAGAGTGATCAGTTACAGGGCCAGGGGGGCACCTGTGGGGCTGTGTGGGTGAACTGTGGGGCTGAGCGGGGGCACTTGTGCATTGAGAGGCACTTGGGGGGTTGGGGGGTCACTTATGGGTCTGGGGGG